CCGTTAAGCGTCATCACAGTACCGCCGTGATGTTATGCAAAATATTTTGTTTTACGTGGATATTGGAACGCGAGTGAAGTACATAATAAATAATAATTTGCCATTCAAATACATCGCGAATACGGAAACATCTGATTTTGTTTGGAATGAGAGACCCAACGTTGGTTTCAGTTTTGTTTTAGCCTAAATGAATTCGTTTTGGCTTGTCGTTTTGCTATAGCTTCTTATTTTTTTTATTCTTGTTCTTTTCTAAATACTGTTAATTGAAAGGATTTGTTGTGGAGTGAGGGGAACTAAAATAGCCTAGCTATGTTTACAGTGTTTATTATAATGTTTCTAAACATTTCGCATCGGCATCATTAGGCCTATTTCTGAATGAAATAATAAAATGCGACTTATGTTTTTTCCCCCTATAAAACACATTTTTTAATACACGTAGCGTATTTTAACCATGCAGCAAACCTTTTTAAATATTTTGATGAATTACTGAAAAAATAAATAATTAAATTACTTTTCAAACTGTTTAACTGATTGTATTAATCGGTCAAAATTCTTACGGTCGGTTAACCGGTAACAATGAACATCCCTACTACAGTGTGATCCACTGATTTTTGAATCATTACCTTTGAGCAAGTGCCCTACTAATGCAAAGTTGAAGTTGGAGGCAAAGTTTAGTCCCACAAAATGGTCCATTTGTTTACAATGCCATTCCAGAGGCTTCCTGATCTCCATGAAGACCTCCTCAGGACTCTATAAAGGGGTGGAAATGTTAACTGCTTAGAGTTTTATATTCTACCACCTTGATATTTTATCTATCACTAATAATAATAATAATAATATCAAGAGTATCAAAAAAAGTTTTGAGTCTGTGGTTGTCTAAATGTGGATTTCAGTTGGGCACCTTATCATTAAACACCCAGAGGCTGTCCAGTGTGTGCAGGTTCTGCTCCAGTAGGGCGGTTCCGGCAGAATACAGATTCACTTCATCCAACTGAAGTACAGCCACAGCCACCCAGAACAGAGCTTTATGCATGGGAGAGTCCTGCAGATCATTAGACACGTACACACAAAACTATTAATATGTCAAGTGTGTCATTTCTGCACCACCAAACTGAATTGCAAAGATATTTTCAAACTAGTTTCCCTAAACACTCATCCATGTATACACAGAGAGAAGCAAATGGAAAAAATTTTATTGTCGTGTTACATCAGAGGTAATAACTGCTGATGTTTTCATAATTGAATCCAGCATACAACATGACTGCACCTGATCGAGGAGAGGCTGTAGTTTTGTGAGAGCGATGACGGTGGCCTCAATGAGAACCTGGCTGTTGTAATTATCCGGCCCCTTTAAGCAGCTCTCCAGCCCCTGTGCAGGAACAGCATTAATCAGACAAAGCGGCAGAGCATGACGCCAGCAAACAGTCAGAGCGAATGACACTACAGCAGTTAGACTAGCACTGCACTGCATTCTGAATCACAAACACTCTTCATACAACCCAAATATTCACCATTTCCAGATAAAATACAGTCACAAGAGGAAATTCAACAACAGTAAATGACAACAGAGAAATGTCATTAGTCCAAGCAGTTTGACATGTTGTGACAAACCATGGCTAATTACATCTATTCATTTAGTCTTATGTAAATTTCCCAGTAACTGATAATAAATGCATTTCTCTAAACTTTGCTCAATACTGTATACATTTCCACAGTTATCAAAATAGATTTGAAGTTGTCCAAACTGAATGTTTTTATAAAAATAAAAATCTTAATTTATTGACTACATAATACACTACATAAAATACCATTTAAAAGCTGGGGTTGTTCTTTTTTTTAGTTTTTGAAATAAGTCTCACCAAGGTTGATCAAAAATACGACAAAACAGTAATATTGTGAAATACTATTTAACACTAACAGATATTATTTAAAGATTACTGTTTTTAATTTGTAATTTATTTTAATATGCAACTCAATGTGACCTAATTTATTAAATATAAATAAATATACATAAACTGCATGCTAATTTTCATAGGTGGCATTTTAAACATTGATTAATAATAATATTTTAATGTGTGCGGACATACCCCCAATGGGCAATATGGGCAATAGTTCATTAAAAATTCGACCTCAATTAATTTAAATAAGAATTCCGCATCCTGACAACCTCAAATCAAATTTAAAAAAATGTAATTGTCTTATTCTTATTCCGTTCTAAATGGTGCACAGCTATGGTGTTCAATGAATTTTATCAAAAAGTAAACATCAGAGAAGACCACATTACATAAATGCACCAAAAACAAACGATTCGAGCCAATTACGATCAAATCTAAAATGAGGAAAAACAGACAGAGCTAACCCGATCAATGCTGAGCAGAGGACTGGCTTTACTGAGAATACGAATGATCTGTTTGAGCTGTCCATGAGTCACACGTTTACTGATGCAGCCAAACACCACAAGCGCCCGTGGCTGAAGAGATGGGTTATATTGGAATGCAAACCTATCCAAGAAAAGAAAATACAATTAGCTACTTAAATGTGATTGTACTGTGATTTTCAGTTGTAACTGCTTCACAAAAACTCTTGTCAAATGTAGTTTTCAACACACTTTTGTGCCAATTCGGTCCACTGATCCAACCATTTGCATCCAGGAATGTCCCTCATACAGGCCTAGGGAAAAACAATAATTGGTTAAATAACATATACATAAAAAGCTTGGGAAAATAAGTAGTTATGGAACTCATAAATTCTTTAAAAAGATCAGCACAGTGCTGGAGATACATAAAAAGATGACAAATACTTTTAAATGACAGCAGCAGTAACTAACCTCCATAATCTCCAAAAGAGCCTCTGTAACTGTTTCCAGGGAAGAAAGAGCAAAGGTCTCTCTCTCATAGGAGCCAGGGGAGAACGAGCGGTCTCTGTAGCTGGAGCGGAAGGCGATGACCGCCGCAGATTTGACCTTACTGATGCCGAACAGCAGGTAGAACTTGGGCAGGGAGAACTCAGTCAGACTCAGACGCAGCACCTGTTTAGTCTCCTCTGCAAAGGCAAAAACCAGAACAGCAAAAAAAATCAGACAGATCATCTAACGTTAAAACAACCTAATGTCTAGCAAACAATAAATCAGAACTGCTGCATAACAATTTAAGGAGTACATTGCCATGTAGCACATACATGCAAGGCATATTTATTCAAACTCGAAATGTTGGCACAAAAATACCCCTTTTTACATTAAGTCTGTCAAATCGCAAAAAAAAAGATTCAGTATCATTACTCTATTCAAAGTTTTTAAAGTAATTTTTTTATTATTATTTTATTCTATTTAAGTTACCAAAAACATTTTAACAAGTACAGATTTTTATGTAGATATTATGCACAAAAATGTTTTTCCATTTATTTATTTTTTTGTCATTATTCAGGTTTTAAATGGTTAAAAATTCAGGTATATCTTAGGTGTAACTTTGATATCATGTAATTGAATTATATTTGGCATAAGTAGTACTTAAGCATGAGTTTAAAAAAAACATGAACTGAGACTGTGATCATTCCTTATACACTTGTTAAAACATTTCTAAATTCTTATTTTTATTTGGAGATAACAATATTTAACAAATATTTACAAAAGCAATATATGAATAGAGGACTTGTATTTTAGCCAGAAACAACGGTTTGACGTTAAAAATATCTTGATGAATTTGTTACAAACAAGCAGCTTTTCCCTTCACACAACATAAATTAGAGACTGGAGTCATGTGGATTACTTATGGATGTATTTATCAGCTGTTTGGACTCTTATTCTGACGGCACCCATTCACTGGCCTATGGTGAGCAAGTGATGTAATGCTAAATAAACAGAATGATCTGTTCTGATGAAGAAACAAATTCATTTACATCTTGGATGACCAAATGTTAATGTTTTGGTCAACTATTCCTTTAAAACCCTCACTTTCTGCGAGTTATTTCTCACCGCTGAAGTTGAGCTGTGAGCAGGTGCAGAGCGAGTGTATGATGTTGATAACGAGGCCATGTGTTGACGCTCGGAGTGACAGCGGGCCGGTGGCCACCAGCAGAGTGACGACATGGAACAGGTAAGGCAGATGAGCGGCCACATCCAGAGAGTTGTTGAAGGAGAGCATGAGCATGTAACGGGCCAGGATGGCGATGTCGTCCCACATCAGGTGCTGCTCAAGGGTGGGGGTGGGGGACAGGCACGTCTTATCGATGATCTTACACATCCGGCCAATCACCTGAGAGAAATGAATAAAGAAATTTGTAGTTACATTACAAATATGGGCTTTATTTTACTTTAATTAGTCCCTGATGAAAACTAAAGAGTCGGAGTGCTAAATTGAACAATATCACTAAGGCAGTTTAACAATTTTAAGCTTTCAAAATTAGCAAAGCAATGACTGGACTCCACAAAAAGCATAATTTATCATTTCCACAAATTAGAAACAAAATAGTACTAGAACAAGAAATACTAGAAATAAACTAGAACAAATATAGACAGTGTCCCTTTTTTCACTCTGTGACATGCACCTAAACATCATTTGCTCTCTCAATAAGATTATACTTGGTCCCTCATTTAACCTCAGAGTCCAGCTGCTATACGAGTCTTAGAAAAGCAGACGCAACAACTGGACAAAGCCTGTCCTTGTGCTGCCCGCTGTGACATCAGCAGTGGCTGGCACATGTTAACCAAACAATATTTAGCTTTTCAGCATAGCTGAGCATTTGGGAAAACAACAAAGTATCTTCAACTACTGAAAAATATCTAGTATATATCTAGTTATGGTAACTGCGTCAATCAAGAATCATAAAGACCGAGGTGCTTAAGTTATCCAATTCGCAAATGTGGCTCTCCCTCTGCCCAAGTGTCTGACAATGACGTCCATTGAGCGTAATGACTAACAGTTGCCCATATAATAGAAGCGACTGCCCCACTGGCTAACTATTGTCTGTCTGTGTGCACACATACAAATTGGGCATTTGTGCACAACACTTAGGATAATAGATGTTGGGTAGAAGAGCTAGTCAGCCTGGATAAGATCACAAGAGGAATGATTCAGGAAGACAAGAGCCAGAAACACTTTAAGCGGTAAGTCGAAATCTGTTTAAAAGAGTGTTAGTGGGCTAGAAATTAACCTAAAAGGACATTTAGAGATATGCTAACAAGAAATAAAATTGGTTTAATGAATAATTGAATATAGTAATATTATAACTAAATATTGTATGATATTAAACATTTCAGCTGAGATAAATTGGATGAAATTATACAACAATGCATGGAATATAAGTCGAGCTGTTCCGGGGCATTTTGAATCATCTTGGGATGAACAAATTGATAACTTTATAAATAAATAAAATATTTTAATAATCCTATAATTTTATATATATATATAAAGCAAAATAAGTAAACTCATTAAAACATTACAACTAAAAATGCAATAGCATCTGTGCTTCGTACATCGTGCAATAGCATTGTCTGTCTGACTAGCTATCTATCATCTTGTCTTTTTTT